GAGCAGGGAGCCCGATGCGGGACTCGATCCCGGGACTCCAGGATCATGACCTGAGCCGAAGGCAGTCGCCTAACCAACTGAGCCACCCAGGCGCCCAGAATAGCCCTTGACTATTGAGGAAATTGAATTTATAATTTTAAAACTCTAAAAAACTAAATCTCTTGGTCCAGAGTTTCACTGGAGAGTTCTACTCAATGTTTAAAGAAAAATCAATACCACTTCTACACAATCTTTTACAGAAGACAGAAGAAGAGAGAACACTTCCCAGTCTATTTTATTAAGCCAATTTGTATACTGTCAATGTATACTGATGACAGATAGATAGATGATAGATAGATAGATAGATAGATAGATAGATAGATAGATAGATAGAGAAATATATATACCAACATTCCTCATGAATATAAACGCAAAAATCCTTAACAAAATATGCAAATAGAATTCAACAATATATAAAACTATGCACCATGACATAGTGGCAGTTATTCTAAGGATACAAGTCTGGTTTAGTATTTGAAAATCAATTAGTCCAACATATTAACCAGCTAAAAAAGAAAAAACCCATAATCACATTTAATCGATGCAGAAAAACCATTTGGCAAAATTCAACACCCATTCATAATAAAAAATTTTCAGAAAAATACAAATAGAAGAAACTTCCTCAGCTTAATAAAGAGCATCTACAAACACACACACAAACACACACATACCCTATAGCTAACGTCATACTTAATGAGAAAAGACGAAATGCTTTCCCCCAAGATTGGGAACAATGCAAGGGTGTGCGCTATCACTGCTTCTACTCAACATAGTGCTGGAAGTTCTAGCCACTACAATAATGCAAAAAAAAGCAAGCAAAAGGCATAAAGACCAGGAAGAAGAAATAATACTATTTGCAGAAGACATAACTGTCTATGTAGAAAATTCTAAGGAAGCCCATGGGATGAATAAGTGAGTTCTGAAAGGTCACAGGATATAAGATAAGCATTCAAAAATCAATTGTATTTCTGTATGTTAGCAATGAACATGCAGACACCAAAATTAAAAATACAGTGCATTTGCTCTCAGCCTTAGCACCATCTTGGAAACCTCCGGGCCATGAACCACATGGAGGAAGAAGCAAATGCACAAGCTGAAGTTGAAGCAAAGGTCCAAGTGAAGTGCTCACTTGTGCATCCATGAAGCCGCAGGAGCAGAAACAAGGAAAGCCAGAGGCCAGGGATGCTGTTACAAACTGTTGGACAACACACCTACTTTCTAGAATTTTCTCAGTGGATCTAAAACATCCATCGCCATATGATCACAATGACCACTTTTGAGAGACCCACTTTGTTCATACCAAAACAGTCCCTTATGGTCCTTTGTCCTGGACCTGTGACTTTCAGGACTGATTCTGTTCTCAGTTGTGGCTGAATGTAACGTGTACAGTAAATCATCTCTTCTGTTGTCTTAGCTAAAGAAAAAATTTTTAAATACATATAAATTTAATTAAAATATAAAATGTAAACTTAATGTAAATGTACAATGACTCAAAAAAAATGAAATACTTGCATGAAAATCTAACCAAGCATGCACAGGACTTACCTGCTAAAAACTACAAAATGCTGATGAAAGAAATCAAACAAAATCTCTGGGATAAAGGGCCAGGCAAAGAGTTCTTAGACTTGACACCAAAAGCAGTGTCCATAAATTTTTCCACAAAAGGAAAAGTGGGCAAAATGAACTTCATCAAAATTAAAAGCGGACCAAGTGGGAATTTTTTCCACATATGGAAAGGCTGACTCAACAATGGGAAAGCAATTAATCTAGCATATCCCATCAGTAGGCTAAAGAAGACAAATCATGTTAATGTCAAGAGATGCTAAGCTATTGACAAAATCCGCCATTCTCAGCAACCTAGGAATGGAGGGGAACTTCCTCAACTTGATAAAGAATATCTGCTAAAACCTACAGTTCACATAATTAATGGTGAGAAACTAGATGCTTTCCCTCTAAGATGGGGTAAAACTGGAGAATGTCCCTCTCACCACTCCCATTCAGCATCGTACTAGAAGTCCTAGCTAATGGAATAAGACAAGAAAAGAAAGGAAAATGTGTACAGATTGAGAAGGAAGAAATAAAACTGTCTCTGTTTACAAGTGACATGATTGTCCATGTAGAAAATCCCAAAGAATCAACAAAAAATCTCCTGGAACTAATAAGCAATTACAGCAAGATTTCAGGATAGCAGGTTAATATGCAAAAGTCAGTTGCTTTACTGTTTACCAGCAGTGCACAATTGGCATTTGGAGTTAAAAATACAGTACAATTTACATTCACACCAAAAAAATTACTCATATATAAATCTAACAAAATACATATAAGATCTATAAGGGAAACTACAAAACTCTGATTTAAAAAATCTAAATAAATAGAGAGATATTCCATGTTCATGAATAGGATTCAATACTGTTAAGATATCAGTTCTTCCCAATTTGATGTATAGATTAAATGCAGTTCCAATCAGAATCCCAGCAAGTTACTCATGGATATCAGCAATCTGAGTTTAAAGTATGTGTGGAAAGACAAAAGACCCAGAATAGCCAACACAATATTGAAGAAGAACAGAGAGGACTGACACTGCCCAATTTTAAAACTTACTGTGAAGCAATAGTAATTGAGACTGTGTTGTTGGCAAAAGACAAATACCCAAAACGGAACAGAAAACTCAGAAATAGACCCACACAAATATAGTCAACTGGTTTTAACAAAGGATCAAAGGCAATTCGGTGGAGAAAGGACAGTTTTCAGCAAATGGTGCTGGAACAACTAGATGTCCACATGTAAAAACAAAAAAACAAAAAACAAAAAAACGGATCTTAACAAAGACCTTGCACTTTTCACAAACATTAACTCAAAATGGATCATAGATCTAAATGTAAAATGCAAACCTTTAATAAAGCCCCTAGGAGGAATCCGGCAGTAACTTCTGGGCACAACACAAAAGCACAGTCCGGGAAAGAGAAAGTCCATGTTAGACTCCATGACAACCTCAGACTTCTACTCTGCAAAAGCTACTTTAAGAGAGTGAAAAGACTGGCCACGGACTGGCAGAAAATATTTGCAAAACACACACCTGATAAAGCATCTATATTCCAAATATACAAAGAGCTCTTAAAAGTCAACAAAAAACCAAAATAATTTAAAAACCAACCCAGTTAGAAAGTGGGCAGAAGATCTGCACAGACCCTTGCCAAAGATGTCGTATGGTAAACAAGCATGTGAAAGCCGTCCGACGTCATGTGGCACTTGGGAATTGCACATTAAAACAAGGAGACACCACTCCCCGCCGATGAGAATGGCTAACACCCCAAACGCTGACCATACCAGATGCTGGCGAGGATGGAGCAACAGGAGCTCCTGGTCACTGCTGGTGGGCACGTGAAAGGGCGCAGCCCTTTTGGCAGTTTCATCAGAAACTCAACATGTAACTGCCCTGCAGCGCAGAAACCGCCTTCCCAGGCGTTCGTCCCGGAGAAATGAGACTTAACATCTGCACAAAATCCTGCACATGAATGATTACAGCAGCTGCATTCAGAACAGCCCCAAATGGGACACAGCCCAGATGTGTGGACGGTTGAACGTGTGGGGGTCCGTCCAAACCATGGAATGCTACTGAGCAGTAAAAGGAACAGAGTGTTGATAAGGCAGCAGCCTGGGTGTGCATCTCCATATAATTATGCTCACAGCAAAATGCCAATCCCGAAAGGTCACATATTGTATAATTCCATTTATGTGAAATGGCACAACCATGGAAACGGACAACAGACTCGTAGTTGCCAGGGATTAAGAACATGGCTTCGGGTCGCCGGACACATCTGATGACGGAAGCGTGCTGTATGGTGATGGTGTCAACCCAGCATCCGCGTTGGGATGCTGCCCTGCAGTTTTGCAAGATGTTACTGTTGTGGGGACCTGGGTACAGGGCACACGGGATCTCTTTGTATGTAAATCTATAATGATCTCAAAATAGTTGAATTTTTTTAAAGGTCAATAAATATCTAGAGCTAATAACTCCCTCATTATGTGACTGTCCCGCACGGTGATCTGTGCTCCTAGCTGGTGGGGCCGCTCTCCCCAGCCCCGAGCGCCCGCACCACCTGGGCAGCTTGGTGTTGGCCACGTGGGAGCATTCATGCCTCGGAGATGGGCACACGCGGAAACCAGGTTTTGTCAGTGGCGTCGACCTCACGAAGTGACAGAGGAAATGTTCACGGTGTGACTGAACGCAGAAGTGTGCCGTGTCTGTGGGACCCACCCGAGACCCTCAGCAGCCGAGGCCGCTGGCAGAGAGCCCACCCGCTCACCGCAGCGAAGCTCCGACCGGGCCTTCCACATTCCACTTCCATCTTGCCTGTTGAGTCAAATGAAAACACCAACCGTAGGCGTGTGGCAGCCACCTGTCTGACGCAGGCGGATTCGGATACAAGAACTGGGTAGAATCCGTGAGCACATCCGGGGAGATCCTTGGCTCTCTGGAACTTACTAAACAGGAGTGTGACACCTTTCCTTATTTCTAAACTGTGTGTTGCACCAGGGACATTTAGAATAAACAGATGTGTGTCTGTGGAGGTGGGTATTTTTGTTCAGAAACCTGTGGTCTGCCATATAGCAGCACCCCACTCGTTCGGGGGCCACTGGCCTCAGACCCCCGAGCTGCGGCCTCCACCTGCCTGAGGACCGTGAAAGTGGGAGGGTCCCCGCTGAGGCCTCAAGTCATAGCTGTTCACACTTCAGGGTGAAGACCGTGGGTATTTGGTAAACATGCAGGTCCCCAGGCCAGGCCCCTGGGAGATCTGACTCGGGGTCTCGCTGGGGCCTCCAAGCTCCAAGGCGGTGCACGGCAGGGGTCCCCACAGGAGTGGCTGTCCTGCTAGTGCCTGGGGTGCCCCTGGGGGAGCCCAGGGTAGGGAGGTGCTGCTGAGCAGGGCGGGGCTTTTCTCCACCCAGGCCTCCGTGTACTGTGTGGCCGCAGTCCTGTGGACAGCAGCCAAGTTCAGCGTCCCCCGAGACCACAAGCTGGCCCTGCCACGCAGGCTCAAGACCCTCCTCTTGGACATGGCCAGACGCAGTGCCCAGGAGCGGCCATGCACAGCTGAGGCCATCAAGGTAACCACCTGCCGTTGGGACCCCAGGTCACCGTCCAGGGCCTGGCGATGGCTGACAGAGCGCCCAGGCTCCTGTTCCCGGAAAAGTGGGCATTGGACAGGGAGGGCCATGGGTTTCATTTGTGGACAGGTGGTGGACAGTGTCTGCTGCTCACTGCCCTGGCCCCTGCCAGACCACCCGGGTGTCCCCAGTGCATTCGCCCGGCTGGAGTGGGCAGGGGATGTCCTGGGGCCAGCCTGACCCCTGCCAGCAGGGAGCAGAGTTCTCCCCAACAACCCAACTTCCCTCACCTCCTCTGAGGGTCCTCTTGCCTCCCTTTCCCTGACCCTCCCAAGAGCTGGACAAGTGTGGGGCGGTCCCGCGATTGGTTCAGTGATCAAGAGGCCACGGGAAGGCCACCCCCGGAGGGAGAAGCCCTGTGCGGCCTTCTCTGCCCCTGACTGCTCTGTGGCCTCAGGGAGGTTGCTTAACGGCTCTGGGCCTCTCTGGCCTGCTCGGCCAAGTACGGATGAGCTCTCATGTCAAAGAGAAACTCGGCAGACATTAGCTACAATGCTGAACCAGTTTACCGAGTAGCTACGGACAGATGGACGGACGGCAAGGGAAGGAGCTTCACTCCACTCCAGATCTGCATGGAGGCAGCTGGGTGTTTTCAGGGAGAATGAGGGACTGGGGAGGGAAGTGGCCATGTCCGCCGTCCCACGGACACTGGGAGCCTGGGGCCCCATCCTTCCTGAAGATCGAGGTTCAGAGCATCAGGTACATCCTGGGTTGTAAGAGGCACAGACACCTCGAGGGCAGAGGAAGTTCACAGTCGTGACCTTTGATAGTAAACGCTCTAAGGTGGGGAGGTCGCAGCCTCTGCCCGGAGTTGGCGGAAGCAAACAGCTTTCCAGACAGGAACCCCAAGGGGTCTGGGCCATCCCTGCACTTGGGCCACGCAGCCTCCGTGCAGAGCTTGGAGGGGGGCGTTCTCTGCCGAGAGTTGTTTGTGGTTTCTCACCAGCAGTTAGGAAATGGTAGAGGTGTCCATGGTGGGTGGGGGAGCCTTAAATGGTGGCTTAAGGGAAGAATCTTTATCTTCACATTCAGTACCATCCATAACCCCAAAGGAAAAATAGAAGTTCTCATCGGTGACATTCTGTCCCCAAATATCAGAATGTCTGAGCTTGCAGAGGGTCAGTTCGTGGGGGTCAGCTGCATTTTCAGTGTCCACCCCTCACCCCAGAGCTGGCCAGTGAACAGCTCGACTGAGGGCACAGAAGGAACGGCAGACCGTGGGCCTCAAATCTGCTTAACGCCCCAGCACATGGCTCTGGGGCCACATCCACATTCACCCTGCAGGCGGCCACTGCCCTGTTGTCAGGGTCACAAAGGACCCGGGCAACTGGGTCAAGTTGCAGTTAATCGTAATTGTCTACAGAATTGTTCTCTTGCCTGTTTTTTAGGTTGTAGTCTGGGGGGTTGTTGTCTTGTCTGTGCATGTGAGGGCTGAGTGGTTCTGCCCTAATTCTGCTATGGGTCTTAACGTCTCCCTTTCTTAGAGTTCTTAGACAGTCCGGCTGGAAAGGGTCATGTGTCTTTGTGCCCCTCCTCTCCAGCCCTGGGGCCCCCGCCCCCGGAGACTGCGGCTCGCCCCTCGCCCCTCCATGCAGATGGCTGTCAGTGTGGCAGGGGCCTGGGGAGGGGCTGTGGCCATTTCTGTTGGGTCTTTATTCGTTCCACGTGGGGCCTGCTTAGCTCTCCCTGGGAAGCGACACCTGTGGGGTCCTCCTGTACAGGAAGCCCCCAGGCCCTCCTCCCAGCCACCAAGCACTCTCTGAAGGGCCCCAGCCTGAGGTGCACTCCCCTCCACGTTTGGAATGACCTGGGGCCGCTGCCCAGCCTGCGGCATTTCAGAGCACCTGGACACAGGGCTCGTCCTTCTTGCAGATGTGCAGCACTTATCTCCTACAGCGGGGCATGGACAGCAGAAAGATTTTAGCTCACCTGAGGGCATCCACCTATAAGGTAAGATGGGGACTTCCAGAGCATGGGTGAAGACCCCTCATTCTGCCCTGGGGCCCTGGAGAGATGAGGGTCCCTCCTTGATTTTTGCTGTTTACTGTCCATGTGCAGTGAGTTTAGGAAAGAGGTGGTAACTTCTCCTTCGCTCTCAGAGGAGCTCCGGCCGGCAGCCCCGCCCCGATCTCTGGTGATGGCCTGGCGTGTGTGGGGCGGGGGCCTGTCCTGCGGAGTGACCCTCAGGTAGCCGGCATGGTTTATAAATGTGCCTGCTGGCCTCCTGAGCATACTGACCCAGGCGGGGCCCTTGGATGGCAGAAAGGCACAACACAGTCCCCCCGGCAACCTGTGGGAGCTTGAGTTCTGAGAAGCCCAGGGTCTCCAACGGTGCTATAAGCCGCCCAGGCCCTAGAAACCTCCCCAAACCTCGTTGAACTGGGAAGCGGTATGCCCAGAGCCCAGCTGCGTGAGTCATTGTGGGCTGGGGGTGCCACTGAAGGGTCAGGGAGTGCGCCCAGTGTCCAGTCTGCACCTCTGGGTCCCTGGTGTCACCTTGACTGGGCGGTCCGTGTCCTTCTGCCCCAGGTTGACCAGGAGGAAGAGACGATCAGCCTCCAGAATGCTCTCTCGGTGGCTGAACTGAACCCCAGCACCCCCAGGCCCAGCTCAGGTGGGCCGCCAGGGCCCAGCGTCTCCTGCCTCCCAACCCCACAACCGCTCCCACTGCTGACCCCCAGCCCTGAGTGGACACCCACAGGCAGGCACCACTGGGCCCCGGAGCAAGGTGTCCAGAACATCCTGGCGGCCTTGCTGCTCTCACTCTCCTCCTCTGTTCCAGCCGCCCGGTCACTCTCATGTCACCGGCCTCCAGAGCAGGTGGTGTAACCCCAGCGTCCCTCCACTCTCTTCCCACGTCCACATGCACATCCTGCTGACCGGTTCCTGCCCTGTCTGGGCGGTAACCCCATCCTGCGGCAGGAGGACGACCCCCTGGTCCTGTCTGTGGCCTTCTCCATCGCTCCCACCCTCCCCCACCCGTCCCCGCCCTCCCAGCTCCATCACCCTTGCCTCCGGCCACCTCAGGTCTCTGGAAGTCCCCTTGGAGGCTCGTGGGGGGGCACCCCATGGGGGGCGGCAGCTTTGTGGCAGAGGTGGGGGGTACTCCGGGGGTCTGCAGGGCCGGCCCACACCGCCTGCACTCACGCAGAGTTTATCCCCAGGTTTTGTTCGGGTCGGCGGTGACACCAGGCTGGTGGTGGTGCAGGGGCCTGGGCCCTCTCAACCCCCCTGCCGCGAAGGGGCCACGGTGCTGCCGGCCGCCTTGACCGCCACGGCCACACACTTCCAGCCCGTCGTGCTGGTCCCAGATGCAGGTGATGCCAGGTGAGCACCCCCACCCCAGAGCTGGCAGGGTCCCTGAGCCACCCCGAGTGCTCCCTCCTTCTCTCTGTGCTCTCAGGGACGGGGAGGGCGATGGGAAGCAGGCTCCCGAGGCCCATGGAGCCACCACCAGCCAGAAGATTCCTGACCGGCCAGTACCTGCTGCTGGACCACAGGGAGCAGCCCCAGAACCGCTCAGGGAGTCAGTGCCGAGAGACACGGCCCAGGGGATCCCCTGCGTCCCACCCCCTGGCCCGGAGGGGGCTTCACCAGCGATGCCCGAGTCTTCTACGGCTGCCCCACTCCTGAAGGCACAGGCGCCTCCCATGGAGCAAGGGCCAGACCAACCAGTCCCACCTGGAACCCCAGCGTCCAGTGCAGCCCACCACGACCCGAGTCACCGAGCCAAGCCACCCAGGAGCGAGGCCACCGAGGGCGCAGGCCGGGAGCCTCGGGGTCCCTCATCAGCCCCGAGGGACCCCTCCCTGGCCAAGGCGAGTCCAGACAGCCCCAAAGGCACCTCTGTCCCAGAGCAGGATGGCCTGGCCCCAGACAGTCACCCCGAGCGGCCCCTGCCAGCAGACCACAAGCTCTGTCTGTCCGGTGTGGACGCCTCGGCCCTCCCGAAGAGGACAGCCTGCCCGTCGCTGCAGGAGGCCATGCGCCTCATCCAGGAGGAGTTTGCCTTCGACGGCTACTTGGACAACGGGCTGGAGGCTCTGATCATGGGTATCATGGGGGGGGTGGGCACAGGGTTCCCCAGAGAAGCCCCAGGACCAGGGAGAGGTGGGGGGGAACACAGTGCCCTGGGGGAGGATCAGTGTGAAGGGAACCTGGGGCCCGCACTCATCCATCTGCATGAAGAGCTCAGGGGGCAGAGCTACACCCCGGGGGGTCGGCCAGCAGCAGAGCCTCAGGCAGGAAGAGGGTCTCAGGGCCTGGTCCCGCTGCCCCGGCTTCCCCCCCACCCTGATCCCCAGCTGTAGAGAGCAGGGAACCCAGAGGGGATGCTAGCCCACATCGTGACTGGCCGCTACCATTTTGCAAACCCAGGGGAATATATTTACGCCTTGAAAGATCTCACCTACGCCACTTTCTGTGGGGCCATATCGGAGAAGTTCTGTGACCTCTACTGGGGGGAGAAGTTGCTGCAGAGTCTTTTCAAAGTGGTGAATGGGAGGATGTCCCCCTCCGAGAAGTGAGTCCCCCTCGTCAGGCCCCAGGGTTCCCCCACCCTGGGGTCCCCTGCCAGGCCGGACGGCCCTGGTTCTGCCGCCTCTGGCCCCCGGCTGTGTTCCCCACACGTCCTGTCCCCTGAAGTCCAGCTCCCCACACTGGCCACCCACCCGGGTCCCTCTCGCTGGACCTGAAGCCCACCCTAACCCACAGCTTTCCGTTTGGGCACCGGGCTCCTTTGGGCAGGAAGAGAGGGCTGTGGGCTCACAGGGTGTGGGAGGCACATCCCTGCTCAGCTACCAGCTTGAGGAGGCAAAGGGACCGGGAGCCCAGAGGGGAGGAGGCCCCCACAGGGAACAGCATCTGCCCCCACCCCGTCATCCAGGTCGGCACTGGGTGACAGCTCCCCTCCTAATGGCCGACGTGGGGTGATGGCCTCTGGAGGACGGGCGGCTTCCCTCTCCCGGTGCCCCCGCCCAGCCCCGTGGCCCTAGCGCCTTCACAGACTGTGCCCGGGTGCTCCGTTGCCATGGACTGGGTGGCGGTGGCCCTGGGGGCGGGACCATGCCTGGACCCCAGTGTCTTGACACTGGGCACACCCACAGCCCTGTCTGCCTCCAGAGGCTGCCCCAGGCAGGTAGGACGGGGCGTCACTTCGCATTTGCCGCGGGAGCTGTGGGGGGGGATCCTTGCTGTGCTCCCCTCCTGTGCAGACAAGTCAACAGAGCACGGAGACGAGCACCCCACCCCCCCCGCACCCCCGTGTTCTTGCCGCATGGAGAAGGGCCATCCAGGGACCTCCAGAAACAAAGGCCCAGGAAGCCCTGTGCCACAGATTTGGGCCCCTTAATTACTGTGGAAGGACGGTGTTCTGTACCAGCCTGTGGCCTGCAGTCGGGTTGTCCTTGGGAAGCTTGGATGGGGCCTCAGAGTGGTGTGTGTCTGGGGTGCCGGGGCGGGGTCACTGGAGGCCCCCACCGCAGCCTCAGTGGGGCTTCTGCACATCCGCCGAAAGTTTCCTGTTGGAAGGCAGTGCGGGGTGGGGGGGGCCGGGAGGGGCCAGGGGGCGCCTGCAATGTCTTCCCTTCTGATGACAGTGCTTCGGAGGAGGCTGGGTCACAGCCCGAGGGCAGCACGGCCAGCACTCCAAGTGGCTGCTCACTGTCCAGCAAAAGGCCATCGCTGCATGGAGCAGGTAAGAGACATGGGCTCTGGGGGCAAGAACTCTCCACGGCGGGGTCTGTGTTGACCCTCTTACAGGAGAGGCTCCCCTCTGCCCCTGGGACCCCCCAGTGTCCCCTCAGAGACCCCAGAGCAGGGCTTGTCCTCCCCTGGGGGCTCTGTGCTGTGAACGGGGCTCTCCCAGGCCAGCAGGTGGGTGGCGAGTAGGAGTCCAGTGGGCTGGGGGCTGGGAGGGCGCTTCTGCTTCTGGAATCACTGGCCAACAGCTTGGTGATCGGGGACTCTTTGCATCTTTCCTAGAAACATGTGCCATTTAAAGACTCTGAGGCTTATTTTCCTGGAATGTTAGCGCAGGGCTCCAAGATAACTGAAGCCTTTGTAATTTCACAGAATCCCGTCTGAATGGGACATGGCTTTAGAATCAGGTTGCATGACTATGATCACACGTAATGGGCATTGGAGCAGGTGGACAGGCACCCTCCTCCCACCCTTTCTACCACGTGCATGCCCCAGGAAGTTTAGGAGCAAAGTGACTGTGCCCAGTGAGCCCCTCTGCCCCTCGGTCCAGCCTTGTTTGTGCTCCTCTCTGCACAAGCAGGTCACAACCCCTGGGGTCTCCTCTCTGGACTCCGGCCCCACGGGACAGCCTGTGTTTGGGAGGGGATCTGAGGGACCCTCCTGGGATGCAGGACCACCACCCTGAACCCTCAGGACCCTGTTGGGCCGCTAGAGAAGCAGGGGGGCACCCGGCCGTCTCAAGAGGCCTTGCGTCCCCGACTCAGCACGAGCAGCCTCTCCATAAACAATTAGTGATGGACTCTGCCACACGAACTAGAGTTCCGAGTGGAATCCTCCTCCCCTGTGCAGGGAAGGAGAAACTGACCACCGCGCGCGTCAGCCGAGCCCCCTGCCCGTCCCCGGCGCTGTCCGATGTGGACACGGACGAGCTCTCACGGGGTAACTTTGAGGTGGGATTCCGGCCTCAGAAGTCGGTCAGAGGCGAGCGGGAACAGCAGCAGGAGGCCGGAGAGCACGGGCAGCAGGGAGGGGGCCCGGGGCCCGAGGCAGTGGCCCGGCTGGCCAGGCCCAAGGAGGGGGCCCCAGCTGCTCACTCAGGCCCGGCCGAGCTCCAGAGCTGCAGCCCCGGCTGGTGCAGCGCCTTCTACGAGGCGGACTGCTTCGGCGCCGACGTCTCCAGCTACGTGAAGGAGCTGGTGAAGCAGAGAGCCGGCGGGGCCACCGACGTGGACGCCCAGAGCCCGGTGAGTCCCGGGCCGCTGCCCACTGCTGGCCATGTCGGGGAAGAGGGTGCCGTGGCCGCAGAGGCGCCCTGGGTGGCAAGTCCCGCATCGCAACAGGAGCTCCCAGTCACTCAGGCAGTGGGGGGTGCGTCCAGAGCCCCTCCCTGCATCCCACGTCTGGGCCCCCACCCACCACCAGTGACCCCCGCGCCGGTCTGGGCACCCTCCATGGGAGTACTGTGCTCATCTGCATGTGTCCTCCACATTTCGGGTAGGACATGGCCTTTCTCTCTGTTAGCTGGGCATATGAGCGCCAGGTGACTGTTGGCCTCGGGCCGTGTCTCGTGGGTTGGGGGGCAGGCAGGTGGAGCCCCCTCCTCCCAGACAGCCTCCTGTTCCTCATGCCTTGCCCGCGGCGGTGCATTCCGGCCAGACCCCGGGGTCATCTGGCCTGGGCTTCCCTGGTGGGCAGCGTCCCTCCAGCTAGGGCAGCCTACGCTTCTCCCTGGTCAGCAGGGCAAGAGGAGCCCACAAACTTGAGGGTGGCCAGGCCAGGCAGCCCCTGGGTGAGGGCACCCCACAGAGCTCTGGACCCACAGTCGCTGCCCCTGCCACTGGGCCCCTGCCCCCCATACCCAGCGGCTCTGACCTGGGCTGCAGCCTTCCCCTGTGACCAGGAGCCCCCACTGGGGCCTTGGTGCCCAAGGCCTGACCCTCCAGGACAGCAGTCGGGAAAGACCCCATCAGTGCTTAAGCGTCCTGCTCCTGGTGCCTCTACCTGCCCGCATGACTCACTTCCTCTGGCCTCCAAGGAGCAGCACAGGAACGCAGCGCTCCCGGCCCTAACAGCACCATCTGAACCTTCCCCCGGGGCCCCCTCCTTGTTCATCTCCTGCCACTGCCTGAACTTGGTGTCCCTGCTCAGGCCCAAGCTGGAAAAAGAGCAGGGCCCTGCCCTCGGCCTGCACACGTGAGGATGGGGGCCATGCCCTGTGGACCCACCCTGCCCCCCCTTCATGCTGTGATCCCCTGCATGTGCCATCACGGGCACCAGACTTCGGGGCCTGGCAGGGGCCTCTGGTGGGGCCCTGGCATGGAGGGGGGCCCACATGTAGGCTGTCAGGGCCGGGAGCACAGAGCTCAGACCACAGGGCAGCTCCGCGCCGCTGCATCAGAGTCCAGGGCTCCCAGCCCCTGACCAGCTCCTTCCTTCTGGGGGGGCGGGAGGGGCCTGCGGACCTCGCCCCCACTTCCTTTTCTGTAACGTGTATTTGCACACGATGAAGCTTACTCGGAGCTGCTAGATGTTCTCGCCCCAGCAGCTTTCTACCTGCGATGGCCTCTCCCAGAAGTAGAAAGTGAACGCCCACAAGAGGCAGAAAGCCACATCACACTCCCCGTCGTGGGACCAGCGATGGGGCCGCAGCTCATGACAGCCCACCACACGCACAGGCCTCGTAAGCAGGAGTGGAACAGGTCCTCCACACCCTGGGCTGTCCTGGCGTTGGAGGGTCCTGAGGATCCTAATGTTCGTCACTGAGAGGGCCCGTGGACAGTGAGTGCCGTGACGCGGTTTCCGAGGGGGCGGTGGGGAACTAAAACGCTTCCCTGAAATACGCACCGCACGTTTCCTAGTTGTGTAGGCTGAGGGCCTGGAAGCAGAGACGGCCCGTGCCAGGGTCCTGGTTCCAGGGCCATCCTCCAGTCAAAGGGACCAGGGCTCCTGGAAGAAATCATGGACCCTGGGACTGGGGCAAGGCCGGTGACAGCAAGCCAGAGCCATCTTGGGCCAGAAAGTGAGGAAATGATTAAGAACCCATGATGGGGGCGCCTGGGTGGCTCAGTTGGTTGAGCGACTGCCTTCGGCTCAGGTCATGATCCTGGAGTCCCGGGATCGAGTCCCAAATCGGGCTCCCTGCTCGGCGGGGAGTCTGCTTCTCCCTCTGACCCTCCCCCCTCTCATGCTCTCTCTATCTCATTCTCTCTCTCAAATAAATAAA